GGCACCCATGTATACGCGCTTTTTTCGGGACTTTCATCCTGAACACACAGGCCAACTTGATTAGGTGATACACATCTCTTTCCAATGTTCATCTCTTTTTTTTCAAAATCATATACGTTTTCAATGTATTAAATAAGTAATAATGTTCAATGCACATGAATGAGAAATTTGTTTTAGTTCACTTAATTCTCATGCAATTTCTACAACACTCATAGCTATCCTTCACCGATAGCCCAAAACAGATATCTCTAAACAGATAAATAAATTTCATTACAGATACACTTTTCCAAATCTCAAGATGGAAGTGATAATATGTATCCAACTCTGCAATCATCATCAACATTATTTCAATTTCACAATTTCCGTATCAATTTCATTTTGTCTTTACAATCTCAAACATTCACATTTTTGGGGAAAAATCCCTTTCTCTTTGAAAACCAATTTCAATGTGGGAAATACCTCATTTCAACATATATAAATCCCAATTTCATACCCACAAGCTTTTCCAAGAGACAATTTAAAAAACCCTCTTTATCATTTTGATTTCATACCCTAGGTTTTACCAAAACAACCCAAACCACTATAATTCTTTGAAATAGCAAATAACTAAGGTAAAACTTATAAAATAGTGTAGAAAATCCATATCTCAAGCTTAGAAGACGATTGAGAGAGTGAGAAGACTTCAACAATGCCGAAACCCAACTTTGTTCGGATGAAAATAGAACTCTAAGTGAGCTATACCTAGAGAAATCAATGGATCTAGGTATTTTTGAAGAGAGAATGTGAGTTTTAGAGAGAGAGAGTTTGGATCTAGGGTTTTTAGAAGGTTTAGAGAGAGAGTGAAATGAAAAAGTGATGTAAAAAGTGACTTTTATGAATTGATAAACGCGCAGTCCGCTCGAGTACAAGAAGTGATGCTCGAGCGTAAGACACAAAAGATGTGACCGCTTAAGCACAAGAAGTTAACGCTCGAGCGTGAAATACAAACTTCCAGTACTTTTACAGACAAAAAACCAACGCTTGAGCGCAATAGGGCCCGCTCAAGCCAAGAGCGTAGAATACCACTTCCCAATACTTTTGCAAACCTGCAAAAGTACTGAGCTCACAAAGACTGCTCAAGCGCAAGAAGTGACACTCAAGTGTGGGGGCAAAATTCTAAGTAACAAAAGTTTGAAAACAAAGCTATCAACCTATTCCAAATGCAACCAATACTATTCAATAGCCCAACTCAAGGAAAAATAGTAGAAAACAATGCAAGAACAACCATATAAGGGGAAGAAACCTAAATCCAAAAGTCAAACGAATCGGATTTAAGCCACAAACGCTATATATTTTTTGCAAATAAATCTAATAAAATTATGAGTCATGATATTAAATTAATTTATTACTTTTTAAGAATAATAAAAGCGCCAAATTGAACAAAATGAATAGTTTAATTCATTAAAATGGGTGCGCGATAAGCCCCACGAGGTGCAACAACATATCTCGTCCATAAAATGGACCGAAAAGAAGCTCATTCCAAGTTTAATTTTCACTAGCCCAAATAAGTTCCTTGGAGCCCAGTTCATATAGTGCAATTGCTCTGGCTTTAAATGGGGCCCTTGCAAGTAAGCGGTGGGATTGGTCCTCCAGAATTAGTCAAGTTATGTACAAACTGACCTGAACACCCGATTATGAAAAAAAAAATTACAAAAAAGTGTGAAAGTTTATGATTTTAATTATTAATATTTATAAGTTTTTGTGAATATATTTATCCTCTCTTACTTGTATATATCCGTACGTTACAAAGACATAGCTATCAGCATTCTTGTGACCATGACAGTTTTTTATGCCATCAGAGTTTGCGGGTCTAAAACGTCACACAATATTCCCTGCATTCAGAACAAGGCAATGATTGGTGGCCACAAATTATGTGGCTCAAATGACCCGAAAATGTCAAAACGACGTCGTTTTGGGTACAAAACAACTCTGAAAAATGCCAAAACGACGTCGGAACAGGGCATTTTCAGGCCATTTGAGCCACAGAATTTGTGGCCACCAAACATTTTCCTTCGGAACAAAGTGCACATGGATTGGCTCATCAAGTTTGGATTCTCTCACTACATCACGATTTTTTAAAAATAATTTTTATAAAAAATTAAATAAAATTATATGGTTTTAAGGTATTCTTTATAATATTTATTTCTTGAGTTTGACGTTTTTCATATTCACATCTTAATATGAAATAATTTGAGGGGCGTACAGCTCACTAAGAGTCTCATTTGATGAAATCGTTCTTTTTGTAGGTTTCTTAATATATACCATTCATGAAAAAAATTAAGTTGGTTTAACAATCGTAATATTTTCATTTTATCGTGTTTGTCTCTAAAAAATGGGTAATCAATTTTCAAAATATATTTATTATCCAATTTTTAGACATAAATGTGGTAAGATGAAAATATTACGATTATTAGGTCGAACTATTTTTTTTCATTTATACATTAAAAGCCCTACAAAAGGAATGATTCGAATCATTAAAATAAGATCCGTGGTGGGTTTTATGGGCCCCTCAAGCTCTCTCGTGGTAAGATGTGATGCAAAAAGCCTAACTCTTTCTCAATATGGGAGTGTATGTAGTTGTTTATTCATTTCCTAATTTAAGCTAAGGCAAAGTGACTGTGGGGCGTTCTAGTTATTATTGGACTTTAATTGGGTCTAGTTTGATATATTATTTTTCATATTTATAATTATTCTCTTATATATTGACCAAAAAAAAGTGTATGATTTTAAAGTTATTTTGTTTCAATTTTAACTCGAACATTGAATTATATGCTTTACTAATGAGTCTTAAAAAGCACAACAAAATCATTATAAGAAAACCATGATCAAGAAATAGGACTAAAGGGGTAGAATCAGAAATTTTGTCCAAAAGAGGCCAAGATGTGCATAAAAAAAAAAAAAAAAAATTGTTTTTGAATTTTAAATCTAATGAGAAAGAAAAAAAAAAAAAAAAAAAAAAAAAAAGAGTTAATTTTGATACATTTTAACCAAAGATAATTTTTTATATAAGTATTTTGAAAGTATTTAACGTGAAAAATAAATAGATATGATGAGTCATTTTTTTGTTATTTTTGTAAAATTTTGAATTATTAATTAGATCTCACTATATAATTCATTAGACTATTATTATAAGCTTTTTTTTTTCTTTTAATTAGAAGCTATTTTGTTTATTGGGTAAATAAAAAGATTATATTGTGATAGGCAACTCTTGTATAAATGAAATTGACAATTTGACACGAAGAATTGATGTTATTAACTGATATATGAAAGTTGACTATCGTCTCATTATATATTGTAAAATACTAATAAAATAAAGTTAATAAACTAATATTCAATAAAATTAAGAGGCCATCCAATTATATTTATAAAATATAAGAGCAATTTTGACAAACTTGAAAGGGGTCATGGGGCCTCACACTCTCTTTATGATCGTTTGGCTAATTGGAACTAGGGCAACCCTTGACGGGCTCAGCTTGAGTCAGGTAAAAATTATGTTCCATTTTTTTTAAAAAAATTATTTTCATCTTTAGTGAATATATATATATTTTTTAAATTCAAAAGGTTTTAAACTTTTAAATTCAACCTGTCGAGACAAATCAAAATTTTCAAAATTATAAAATAAAATTTAAAAAAAGTACAGAAAAGACAAGGCAGACCGGAAATGTAAAACAAATAACATAATTAAAAAAGTCACTAAAGACAAAACAAAAAAAATATTGATAAAAAAAGGTGACTTGGCCCCGTCTGAGATGGGCTAAAATAGCTTAATTTGGACTAAAATAACAAATAAAAGCAGATCACTCTCTTTATTTTTTTACATATCTTTTCATAAAAAAGTTAAAAAATCAACTAAAATAATCAATTCTCAAACGAGATTTAGCCAATAAGCTAAAATCCCAAACACTCTAAAATTAGTTTATTATTTATTTATTTATTTATTTATTTATTTTTGTTAATATGTAGAATATCTTACATTAGCTTTTGATTTAAAATGAATGAAAACAAGTCTGTCACGTTATTCTGTATAAATTTTTTATTTATATATTACTCATACGTTGCATATTAAATATGAAAATTGTTATATCACTAGAATTTTTATACAAAATGTAATTCTAAAATGATGTAACAGTTATAAATTATGTTTAGGTAAAAGGTATATATAATTTTAGAGGGAAAAAAGTTGAAAATATTTTCAAAACCTTAACTTAAAATGTAATGTTTTAAAATTTGAAAAGAGATAAGTGACATGTTGGAGGAGGAGATGATGTAGCCGATCGAGGGTAGGGATAGATGAAATCGTGGCATTGGAGTCATGGGGTCTATGCTAGGATTATGAAATTTTGAGACTCACTATCTAAACTCAAAAATTAAGAAGAAGAAAAAAGTGACATTCTGCTGTAATTATGACAAGAGCACCTGGGATTCCTGTATATATGATAACATTTCACAAGAGCATTTTTAACAATACTCATAAAATAGCTAATTAAAAGTATTTATTTTAACTAGTCATTTTTCATTTACATTCTTTAACAGTACTTATCATTTTAACTAGTTAGATTTTAAATATTCATGCATTCATTTTATTTATTTTTTTAAATTTAAATTATTGAGTACAATGAGGGAGAGAGAGGGGGAGGGAAGAAATATTTAAGTTTAAATTATTAAGGACATGCAAGAAATATTTAAGCAACTTAAAAAGTGAAGGAAGAGCTTGAATTAAAACTCACTTGATGATAGATAAGAAACAAGAGCATTCATTCAAATCCAAAGCAGAATTACAAAAATAACCCCATAAACACAACATTACACAACCAAGCAATTATACCACCCTTACATAACTTAAAAAGACATAACAAACCACCAATTCATGCATAGTGCAATTGACAAAAACCCACAAAATCCACACAAAACCTAAGGTATAATTCCACCAACACCACCACCAACACCAACACCACCACCAACACCCACACCACCACCAAGCCCACCTAGCCCACCTAGCCCTCCAAGCCCACTTGCACCACCGATCCCACCGGCCCCGCCGATGCCACCGGCACCGCCTATTCCCCCAATCCCACCAATTGGAAGCACCCCACCAACACCGGCAGCACCGCCGATGCCGGCAAGTGCAACACCACACTTCTTGTCCTTCACACTCTTCCCTCTTGGTGCCATAGCAATAGGCACATTCACAACATTGGTTTGCTCATGATTGACACCATTAGTGTCACCAGGTACAGTCCTTGCATTGGCCTGCAAAAGAAGCACAATTGCAAGGACAAACATGACAGTCACATAACAACACTTTGCCATCTTTTCTGTCTCCTAAAACTCTCCCTCTCTCTTGCTCTCTCTAAAAAAACACCCAAGTGACTTCTGTGAGCTAGTGTTGGTACATGATGTGGGCATTTATAGAGAGAGTGAAGGGGGTGGTGGACAGTTGGTAATTAAAGGAGTGTACTAAATGTGGGGTTGGGGGGGCTGACCTTTTGTTGTCATGGTCTCTCGAGAATAGCATTTCCTTTCAATTTTGGGACAGAGTTAGTTGAATCAAAACAAGTGTTGATTTAATATTGTACATAGTAATGTCTGTCACAGCATTCAAGTGTTGAAGCCATGCAAAAACCATGATCATGGCTTGGCTTGGCTTGAGCTGTATGTGACCTGTTTATGGATACAGAAAAGGGTGTACACGGTCCGGATTGGGTCGGTTCTCAGAAAATCCAAGAATCGAACCGATCCGATCCTAACGGTTCTGTGATTTTAAGAACCAAACCAGACCGTTACACTTATAAAACCGGACCAGAACTAAACCGAAAAAACGGTTCGGTTTCGGTTTGGTTTACGGTTCCAAAAATTTTTATTTATAAGAATAAATTATTAATATTAGCAAAATAATTACTTAAACTAATTACACTTAACTCATGATAAAAACTAATAATATTAAGGCATTACTTAATATTACATATCTATACCATCCTAAAATCATTAAAATTATAAAAAACCAATTAATAAAAATAAAACTTGATATTTTATATATATATATATATATCTTTTAAAATTCGGTTCAATTCGGTTCGAACCGCGATTTTTTCATAAAATTCATTAACCGAACCGTTTTTACGGTTCTCATATTTCTTAATCCGAAACCAAACTAATTCTTAATAGAACCGAACCAAGCCGTATGACTTGATTTGGTTCGATCCGAATTACCGATTTAAACGGATTTTTGAACAGCCCCTACTATGGAGCCATAGTTCAAATCTAGAATTGTTCAAAAAGTTTATAAATGGTCCTGATTTAGTTCTTGAATGGTGGCCTACTTCCATTTCAATAAATAATAAGCCTTTGGTTGGTTTGATTGTGAGACTTTTAATTCATGAGACTCATATTCGATTATTTGGTTGCTAATTTTATTATTTGAATTAGATTTTAATGGCTATTTTATTCAATAAAATTGATAATTTTTTTAATCTTATAATTGATAACGCAAAATATACATATAATTAGAATTATATATATTCATATTTATTGAAAAACAAACATGAACAAAAGATAATTATGTATCTCACTAATCCAGCTGGATAACTAATCTTACACTAATCTCATGAATTATTAATCGTCTCACTATTAATTTTATTAATCAAACAAATCCTAAGTGCACATAGAATCAAACACAAAATGAGAAACATACGTCTCACAAGCCAACATGATGTGGGACCCACCCTTGGTGGGACATACCTATCTTATTCTATGTTTGATCTATGTTTATATATTGTTGTTCAAAAAAATCTCAACCACACATTGAATTTTTTGGGTAAGTTTATGTTACAAACTTCTACTACCGAAGAACTTGTTAATGTGAAAATAATAAAAAATTATTAAGGTTTGTTTTGGGAAATAGTTATTTTAGTTTTTTGGGTAAATTATAAATACACTTTCTGAGATTTGCTTAAAATACGAATTGCCTTCTGTGATTTGAAAAATTACAAATACCTCCCTGTCATAATTTTTTATTTGACAGAATTAATTGAAAAAGTGAAATTTCTAATTATTCACCTGTACAATAATAAAATTATCTAAATTATTATTCGAAATAAAATTTTAACTTTATTAAAAACTGTTAATTAATTTGATAATTTATTAATAAAAGGACCTATTTATTATGAAATTAGAAACCTTAGGGGCCTAATGTAATTTCTAGAACCACATGGGATAATTTGTAATTTAAGTAAATTTCACGAGGTGTGTTTATAATTTATCCTACTTTATTTTATTTTATTTTTTATGAAAAACATGCAGAAAAATAAAAAATTATTTGATGCTCTAGGAGCACAACCTATCCATCAATCACCATACGCTATGCCGCTATCCCAATCAACCAACACAAAATCGTGAGTCCTATCTCCTTCAATCACAAAGCTCATGGGGCATCATGTAACCGTGTCCCAGGACCACCAAATAACTTCTGCAGAAAAATAGAGAGAAAAGTTGATATTTTGACAATGATTTTTTTAACTATTTTTAGTATGTTTCCAAACTTGCCCTAAGTAGTAGAAGTATATTGTAATACTATTTAGAAGGGACTTTGTCTCCGGTTCTTGGATCAGATAGTTTTGAGCTCCTAGACCATCACAATGATCTAAATTGTTAATCTTTTAGGTATTTGTGTATATTGAAAATAAAATAAAATTGATTCGATAGGCATATAATAACATAATTTCATTGTATTTATCTTTAAAAAAAAATAGATAATGTATTTTTAAAATTAAAATTAAAATTTATTTTTAAAAAATAAACGATAAATGTATTTTTGATAATAGTTTGTCTATTTTATTTTTTTTTTGAAACAAATGTGATCAAATAATGAAAATGTTATAATTATCAGATCAGTCTAAATTTTTTAAAGATAATATACATTTAATATTTTACAAAATGAATATTTAGATTATCGAAACGGAACCTATAATAATGGACAACAGCTTGTTCATATTTTGAATTGGAGAGAAGCAAGTTCTATCATGCAAAATTATTTTTGTAATGAATGGTTGACATATCCATACTATATATATAATCAAATGTAGTAGTTAAGTCAAAAGGCTTAAAAACTTGAATCCTAAATTCTTATAATTTTGAAGAAAAAAAATAATATGTGGCACTTTCCTTCATCTTCCTTCCTACTCTTCAAGCATTCTCACTCTCTCCCTATATAAAATATAAAATAATAAAATATTCATCCATATCCATCACTCACAATAATATTTATCCCAAAATAATAAAATATTCATCCATATCCATCCCCCACAATAATATATATCCCACTCCCAATCTCAATTTAAAAATAAAAAATAAAAAATAAATAATCCACAACTCCTACAACTTCCACACATGTTTCTCCATTTAGTTTATTCCAGTCAAATTCAATCATTTTCTCATCGACCCATCTTTTATTTTCTCAGAGTAACTCATCTTCTCTATTGTTACATTTTGCAAGTTTGATAATTTGAAAAAACCATTACTAGGTCGGCGTAATATTATTTCTTATTTTATATGTAGTTTTTCAATATTTGCTACTTTGTGTGTATATATTTCCTTTTTTCCAATATTTTTTATTCATCTACACATCTTCTCCATTTTTATGCTCATGATATTATTTCTTACTTTATATGCATTTTTTCAATATTTATTACTTTTGTATGTGTATATACTTTATATGCATTTTTTCAATATTTATTACTTTTGTATGTGTATATATATATATTGCCAATATTTTTTTATTATCTACACATTTTTTCATCTTCTCCATTATTACATTCAATCATTCTCTCATCTGTCTATCTTTCTTCAAAATAACTCATCTTCTCTATTGTTATATTTTGCAAGTTTGATGATCTACGAAAATCAGTACATGATCAGTGTAATATTATTTCCTACTTTATATGCATTTTTTTAGTATTTGTTACTTTGTGTATATTTTTTTCTAACATTTTTTAGTTCATCTATACGTCATTTCATTTTCTCCATTTTTATGCTCATAATAATATTATTTCTTAATTTACATGTATTTTTCCAGTGTTTATTGTTTTTGTGTGTATATATATATATTTTTTTCTAATATTTTTCAATTCATTTACACATCTTTTCATCTTCTTCATTATTAAATTTGCATGATTTGGGCTTGCTTACTTTTTTATTTTTCATCTTCTTCATTATTAAATTTGCATGATTTGGGCTTGCTTACTTTTTTATTTTTTATTTACGTTTGTTCTTCAATTTAATCAAATTCGAAACTCATCAAATCTTGAATTTAATTTATTTTATTTTATTTTATTTTATTTTATTTTATCTCATGTCTATCACACCATTATAACCATTAGTGGCTCCACGTAAACTCTTGAAATCAAGAAGACCAGCTTTACTAATCTCACCTTTGCTCCTTCAAGCTCTCTCAAATGAGAGTTTCAGTTCATCTGCAACCAATATATACCCAACTACACACACACACACACACACACACACAACAACAACAACAACAACTTCAAAGCCTTAAACACCATTTCTTAATTTTAAATTTTTTAAAAATAAAAAATATATTGGGCTTAAAGCAATTGGAACATCTAACAATATTTAACTTTAAAATTTTAAAATCTTGAAATTCTATCTAAGGCCTCGTTTGGAACCAGCCCATTTAGTCAAAAGTCAAAAAGTTACTAAAAAAGTCAAAAAAGCCAACAACCCATATCAAAAAGTCAAATATTCTCTTTTCTCTTTACTTTTTGCACATCTTTTCGTAAAAAGTCAAAAAGTCATCCCAAACATACTAGTTTTTTTAGCTCATATTTTAGTCAAATAGCTAAAAAGTTACTAAATTAGCCTGTTCCTAAACGAGGCCTAAACATATCTAATTTAAAACTCCCATGACTTATCAGGAGCCGCATTGTCTACAGTTGAAACCACATTCAACTCAGGATTCAGGGCCAGAGGATTTTGGCCTCTGCCTCCCCTTCCTCCACGACCACCTGACCCAGATCGACCTCTAATAGGTGTGTAAACCTTCGAATCAGCCATACCACCACCAACTCCATGAGAATGGACACTCCCAGCCATCGGAAGGGCATCAAGCTTCGATACCAGATTTCTCGCCCTAGCAAGAAAGAGGCTGTCTGGGATATACTTATTCGCGATCTACAACAGCTTCCTCACTCCCCTCCATTTCTACGTTGTCTGACCACCAAGATTGAAGAAGATTTAGGGCAGAAGCTGTTAGGGTTGAAGTTTCCTCTTGGATAAGATCACATGGGGTCAGATCCTCCCGATCCACACCAGACATGGAAGCCGTCATACGATTAAGCTCCTCTCTTAACTCTTCAAAGGGCTT